GCTGTATAATTTTACGATTTCCCATAGAAAATAAATTCTACTCATTTCTTCAAACAAAACTGCTTCAAAACTCATTCCATGAACAATTTTCCAAATATATATGTTTTTGAAAATTGAAATTTTGCTTATCCCCACTCCAGGCAAACAATCATAATTTTTTTTAGATCTGCGAGGTCCGCACCCATGAACCATTGTTACGCGCCCGCGATTATTGATGAACTTTAGACTTCGCTTTCCTTTCCCCGTTTGTAAATAGCCGGGCGGAATTAGTTCCCTCGCCCCGGGCTAACGGCCAGAACGGCGCTCCGTGCCGTGGGCTCGGCGATAAAAGCGCTGCGCATGTATCTTCCCGCCCATGCTACTAACTTGTGGACGAAGGGCTTTGCTCGAAATGTCGAAGTTTTACTTATATGTTTGGTGTATAGTTAAATCCCTACGAATTTTCTGGTTTATCACTGGCGGTCTTGTTTTCATAAGTCATTAAGTCTGTATATCGTTCGCGTATCGCTCGCGCTTGGACTGTTGCATTTTGAATGTTTCAGTTAGGTACTGCGCCCTCTGGAAATATCATCACTTTTGGATAATATTTAACCGTGTCCCTACGTTCTGGGTCTGCAAATATTGAATATTATAAATTATTGTTATTCAGCCGAAGGTTTTAAATTGTAATGCGATCTTCTAAATCACTTGCTTAAGCTATCTGATATTATTTTTCAATGACTTGCATTATTTTAGGCAAAGGTTGTACAATGTAATGGAACAGCCGCCTGCCCAGATGGCACCACATGCTGCATAATGGCGACTGGTGAATGGGGATGTTGTCCTTTTCCAAATGCTGTTTGTTGTTCAGATGGTGTTCATTGTTGCCCGCATGGCAGCACCTGTACATCAACATCATGTCAGAAAGGATCTCATGTGACTCAGTTATTCAAGAAGAAACCCGCGATTCAGGTGGGTAATTGGCTGGGTATTCGAGTTGTATGCCCTTTATATGTATAATGTCTTTGTTTATATTTCCACAGTGCGTCGCGGCGTCGACCAAGACATAAACATCGATCTTCAAACAAGAAGTCGAAATATACGGTGATTCAGCGAAATGTTTCACATCATATTACTTATATGTTTTTTGTATTATTCCGTAGCTTAATTCCTTCTTGTTTTTTCGTAATATATCTTGTAATAGACCTTATTCATAAATCGCAATCGGCGCCTCGTATTCTAGGAAACGGGAATAAACGCGGAAAAACAAGCGAAAGCTGCTTGTCAAGCCAAATTCAGATGCCATTGTGTTGACTTTAACGGCTTGTTTCTTGTTGCTTATTTCGATTTATAATAATTTTGTGTGTACTTTAAGATGTTGTGCCCAAAGCGAAAGCTATAAACGAGTAGGCCTATTATATTAAAAAAACGATCAGTTTTGTTTCCCCTTTTTTGTGTGGAAACGTAACGATGATGTTAATCCAGAAGCGAAAAACAGCATTTTACTGAGATATATATCGACTTAACGTCGATATACACCTTATTCCATGCAAAGTCAAGACAACTATAGTATGGAAGGAAAGTTTATTTTTAAAAATTTACCAGAAAACGTCAAATGTACATGTTATTGATTCGCATGGAAAAATATGAACTGTGCATGCCTGTGTCACGAAGACATTCTGAAAGCAGCTTACAAGATTAAAAAATGAAAAAAAATGAAAGTTACATTTACCTGAGTGAGTTGTAAACCTATTTTTTCAACAATAGTTTCATTGAGTCAACACTGAACGCATCTGGCTCGCGGTTAGTTCAATTTTGCCATGGAAACACAATAATTCTAAATTTCTATTGTATTTTTTGTACAAAACGCCAAAAATAGTTGAAAGATATTTTAACCAGACAACAATTAATTTCCGAAATATGCACTGTATAGATATTTGGCATTTTGTAAGCTTTGATTTAAGTTAAATTAATGTAAAATTCAACCTGAATCGCTTCGTAAATTGCTTTGAAATGTTCATTGAACTAAACTGCTTTTGCCGATAAACTAATTTTACTTAATAATAAAACAAAATAAGTTTAAATTTTACCTTTTTTTCTTAAATTAAACAGGGTAATTAGGAAACGTACAGCTTCTTTGAAAAGGAAAAGGAAAGCAGTGCATGTTTTTACGCAAGAAATTAAAGCAAGCCATCATAAACATTAAATTAAACATTCAAAGCAAACATGCGCTGTATAATTTTACGATTTCCCATAGAAAATAAATTCTACTCATTTCTTCAAACAAAACTGCTTCAAAACTCATTCCATGAACAATTTTCCAAATATATATGTTTTTTAAAATTGAAATTTTGCTTATCCCCACTCCAGGCAAACAGTCATAATTTTTTTTAGATCTGCGAGGTCCGCACCCATGAACCATTGTTACGCGCCCGCGATTATTGATGAACTTTAGACTTCGCTTTCCTTTCCCCGTTTGTAAATAGCCGGGCGGAATTAGTTCCCTCGCCCCGGGCTAACGGCCAGAACGGCGCTCCGTGCCGTGGGCTCGGCGATAAAAGCGCTGCGCATGTATCTTCCCGCCCATGCTACTAACTTGTGGACGAAGGGCTTTGCTCGAAATGTCGAAGTTTTACTTATATGTTTGGTGTATAGTTAAATCCCTACGAATTTTCTGGTTTATCACTGGCGGTCTTGTTTTCATAAGTCATTAAGTCTGTATATCGTTCGCGTATCGCTCGCGCTTGGACTGTTGCATTTTGAATGTTTCAGTTAGGTACTGCGCCCTCTGGAAATATCATCACTTTTGGATAATATTTAACTGTGTCCCCACGCTCTGGGTCTATAAATATTGAATATTATAAATTATTGTTATTCAGCCAAAGGTTCTAAATTGTAATGCAATCTTGTAAATCACTTGCTTAAGCTATCTGATATTATTATTCAATGACTTGCATTATTTTAGGCGAAGGTTGTACAATGTAATGCAACAGCCTTCTGCCCAGATGGCAACACATGCTGTAGATTGGAGGGTGGCCAATGGGGATGTTGTCCTCTACCAAATGCTGTTTGTTGTTCAGATGGTGTTCATTGTTGCCCGCATGGCAGCACCTGTACATCAACATCATGTCAGAAAGGATCTCATGTGACTCAGTTATTCAAGAAGAAACCCGCGATTCAGGTGGGTAATTGGCTGTAGGCACAGCCAGATTGTGCTACCAAATTTCGAAAAAGTTGCTCAAAATATGTCAAAAAGTTGCTCCAAAATTTCGAAAAGTTGCTCAAAAAGTTGCTCAAAGTGAAAAAAGTTGCTCAAAAGTTGCTCTAATGTTCTTATATTTACAATACACATTTGACATCATAAGTAACAGTATTTCAAACTCTAACATCAAGGAACATATGTACTGTAGTTCCTTTTATATAATTACAAGGTTTACGCCATCAATACATCCAAACAACAATTAACAAGTGTGAACAGGAACTGTAATGAAAAAATTTATGGAATTTCAATACGATTAGAGAGCCTATTAGAGAGCAACCTACCTAGTGCTTTCTTTGAGTGCTGTTATAGCGGACCATAACAGATGCCTCAATGTAATCTTCGAGTGAGTTTCCCTGTTGCGATGACATACTGTTAAGCAAACTAAACACACGTTCAGCAGCAGCAGAGCTAGGCTGGATTAGAAGCAACTTCTTCACCAGAGCTGACCAGTGTGGTAAAGTCTCGCGTTGTGCTGCCCACCAGGTAACTTTTTCATCTTCATTGCCTAAAGTGACGCCATCAACAGCCGCAAGATAATCTGGCAACTCATTAGCTAAGTTGGCTATTGTGTTGTCATTCACGAATGGAAAGTTGCTAAATTCTTCGAGTGCAGCAGCATCTGGCTTTAGTTGTTGGACTTGAACTGGGCAACAAAGACGTGCGACCTTTACAATATAATAATAACGGTAATAATATAATTATTATTAAAATAAATTTAGACTTTTTCTGATTTCGAAATGAATATAACAAGGATAAATCAAATATTAGTTTCACGTAAACATGTAATTCCACAATGAATGCGAGTTAATAACAGGCATACCTTAAAAGCGCGAACAATTGTGTGGAACTGCACGCTGAACTTTTCCTGAAAAAAGAGCAGTCCGGGTTGCACACATGCTTTTGCCTGAGTAATGAGCTGGTTTTGAACCACAACGTCACCGTTGGCAATTTCTCGAGCAATAGCAGAGGTGCTTGGAAAATTGGCTACTCCAATGGCATTACTAACAGCTGATAAACGCTCGTAACAGGAGAAAATTAACGGCCCGTCACCTTCCAAATAGTAGGTTGCCTTGACAAATTGGACACCAGCGTCAACAATTACAGCAAGCTCCAAACGGAGATCCTGAAGATTGCGAGGGTTGTCAATTATCTCCAAAAGATGTTGGCGTGTTGCAGGGGAGAGATTCTCATTTTCTCGCAGGAAGGGCACGACATCACCAAAATATTCATAGACTTGTTTTTGGACCTCCCACTTACTCCACCATCGTGTATTACTGTAAGAGCGCATTGATTGGCCAGTTCTCTCTTTCCAAAGAAGTTTGGCATTATAGCTATTGGCAAACAAACTTATCCAATGGCGAAAAAATATATCCAGAACTCTAAATTTGAAATGGGTTCCCACATTATCAATGGTATGAGAAAAACAAGTAACATCAAAAATGTTAGGATAAAAGAATGACAGCTGTCGTATTGCAGCCCCATTAACTGCAGCGCCGTCTCTCATTGTGGCGAGTACCATATTTGGACCAAAGTTATGATTTACGGCAAGACACGACATCAATCGCTGCGCTAGTTTTGAACCCTTTAGCGGCTTTGCAAGAACTTCCAAGCATATTAGGCGCTGCGTAGGCTTGAAATTCTCCTGCACATAACGTATCACAATTGCAAGTCGGGCTGTTCCATCAAATATCATAGATACTTCCTGCACGTTTTGGATTTCAGCTTTGATTTTCTCGCGTTCTTTCTCAAGTACCGTTGGAATGATATCTTTCATGTGGCTAGCGCCGGTTAACCTATATAATCAATGAATATTTAACCACTATTCAATTACACATTAATCATGATACGTGGTGTTGTGTTTTCCACACCTACCCAAGATGCAGCAACCACCACATCGTAAATTCCATTTAACATAAGGTCTTAGAGATCTTTTATCAAATTACAACATTATATTCTAGTGCTAATGTCCCATTTATTACCTGTGCCGAGCATACTTTTCAAGAAAAGGACGCATGATGTCAATCTTTGAAATTTCTATACCAGCTAGCAGAAACGTCTCTACTAGTTCAAAACGAAACAGCCTCATATCTTCAGGTAAAGTTGAGCCGCTCGCACGATCGCGTATATCTTGCTTTTTTAAACACTCCAAAATAGTCTGGTTCTCCTTTTTGCTTTTGGCGATGCTTGCAATTCCGTTTACATGTTTTTTCGATTGGACGTGCTTCTCGATGGAACTTTTTTTAATACTAATTATCTCACTGCAGGCATTACATCGTAACTGCCCATTTTCGTTGACGAAATGTTGACCAGGGAAATCTTTTAGTCTGTCCCAAACACAGGTATCATTTTTCGAGTGATTTTTCATACGACTTGCCTTGTATTTCCCACTGTTTTTTACGATTTTCCGCTTCCTCGAAATAGCAGCTCGATCAGGCTCTGTAATATTGGCTCCTTTATTTATTGCCAGTTGAATTGGGTTTGTGACAGCGTCATCTTCTTCGCTTGAATTTGACGACAATACGTCCGCCATATTTGATTGACAGCTTTGCGACCACTGATCTATTAGTGTTTCTGGTATATCATCGGCTAGAAGCGCCCGCACTCTGTCAGGGTCAGATGATCAGATCATGGTTAATATTTGAAACAAGTTCAAACAACACAACACTATACTTGGCATAATTTTTGCACACGGCGATTCTGGAGGAATTTTGTTTATTCAAGTGGTTCACATTGGAGTATAAATATGTTCTAAGTTATGGTGCCGGACTATTTGTTCAAAGTTGCTAAAAAGAAGCAAAATTTTGGAACAGTTGCTCGAAGTTGCTCGTCAGCAAAAAAGTTGCTCCGAGGCCAAAA